TTTGAGGTCTCCAATTTGACACCTGAGTTTGATTTTTCCCAGGGGGTGAGTACTATTTGCATTGAACCCGAAGATGGTGGTCTGGGTAGTGTGCAACCTGCGCATAGGGATCCCTAAGACCTGCATGACCCTATAAGGCATGATGCTGAGTGCGGAGCCCGGGTCAACCTGGACACGACTGATTTCAGAAGATCCGATATACCCTGTGTAGTACAAAGGTCTGTCGTGTTTGTGTTTAACCTGCATATCTTCTTGAGTAAACGATATGCAGGGTAAACTTCTTGCCGCTTGCAGACATTGCCGACAAGTTTGATCTTCCAAAACTTCAGGAATTGGAATGACTTGGGTGATGAAGCTCTCTGTATTCTTCAATGCCTCGATGAGAGCTTCCTTGGTGGTTTTGGACAACCTTAAGAGCTCATATAGCGTAATTTTGGCCGGTATGTTGGCCAACTGTGCCATGACATTGAATTGGAAGGGGGTGCTCGACTCCCCGGGTTCCTGGTGGAGATTTCTGTTGAACCGGAGTTCTTTCTGTTTTCCCTTATCAGCCAGCTTTTTCGGGACAGAACCCCCAGCGTCTTGGGGCTGTTCCTCAACTCCTTGAGCATTCTGACCGTAGTCTTTCAAGTAAACCTTTCCAGACCGAGTGCCAGGGTTATCTCCTGGGTATGCTGCCAGGGCAATCCTCTCTTCTTAAGGGGTATCAACCCCTTGTCCCTCTGATTGTGCAGGTCAGTATTCTTCAGACGCATTTCCCCTTTATGGATGGGGACAACGCCATCTGCGGTCTCCACTGGAGGGAAGTCACCAAACTGGACTGCTATCATATTGGTAGAAACAGTCTTCTGTTCAGGTTTCAGAGTAAGCACTTTAGCGTCCACCAAATTCTGGAGGATGTCCTTAAAGATGTAACATCTTTTGGTAGGATGCCCCAGAAACCTGTGGTAGCGGCAGTAATTAGGGTCATCTACCTTTCCTGCTTCCTCTGGCTTCCTAATTTCGGGAAGCTGTAACTTGTTGTTCTTCCGCAGTAGCTGGAATAAAGTGTCCACATGTTCTTCCTTGAAGGAATACTGTTTGGGCACTTTTTGCTTATTGGGTGCTTTGCCTTGCTTCGTGGGCGGTGGTACTTGAGAGTAGTCGGCTGCTAGGGTCTCTTTTCCCTTAGACCGCTGAGCGTTGTTCTGGTTGCGTTGCTGCTGCTGTTGCGGTTTGGGCTGTGCAGCTTCTTCGGCTTTCACCCGAGCTACAATCTCTTCAGCTTGTTCTCCTTGCGAAACAAGTTGTCTCCAGGAGCGACACTCCGCTACCCCCATCTGGGCGAGGAGCTGAGTCTGCAAGTTGTGCTTGCAAGTTTCAACCAGGGTTGACTGAGTCATACCTGAGGGGCATCGTAATGCCATGCTGCAGAATCTCTCCACGTAGGCCTTGATAGATTCTCCCTTCCTCTGCTTTGTGGTGAGAAGAGTTGGGACAGAAACTTCCGTATCGTCCTCAAAGAACCTAGCCAAGAAAACCCTTTCCAAATCTACCCATTTCTGAATAGATCCAGCAGGCAGTTTCATAAACCATTCAAAGGCCACTCCTTTAAGAGTGCCGATGAACAAGCATGTCAGGATGGCATCGTTCGCCACCACATCTCCAGTTTGAGATTTGAAATAGTAGATGTGTTGATTTGGCGATCCTGTGCCATCGAACGGTTGCAAGGTTGGAGCTTTAAACTTTGACGGGTATGGAGCTATATCCCATTCGGCAGGATAAGGTCTCACCACTCCTTCTTCACGGAGCTCACTTCTGTTGGCGATTGCATTGAGGCGAGTTTCCAGTTCATCCATTTTAGTGGATTGAGGATGTAGTTCTTTTTCCACCTCCTTCTCACCTTCAGAAGAGGATCCCAGGTTGAGAGTCTCACGATCCGAATGTTCGGTCGCTTTCTGTTTTCCTTTGGAGGTTGTCCTCCGGGAAGATTCAGGTTTTTGGCCTTTTTCTGCCAGGAGCTGGGCCAACATGTCCTTCAATTGGAGAAGTGTCTCCTGCTGCGCCTGGAGCATGACATGATGTTCGTCCACTCTTTTGGCTATGTCCTCGGGATTTCCTGCCATGTAAGCAGATACCTCTTGGGCTCCGACCGAGCTCGAAGATTGAGATTCAGCTATTGCCGAATGTTCATCACTTGTTGTAATCCCTTTGGCTAACTTTTGATAGTTAACCGGGCGAATAGCTCCTGTCTGAGTCCGAGTATGCCTATATACTCCCTCAAACTCATCACAGATTTCCCGAACAGTCGGGGAATGACTTGTTTGTGACTCATCAGAATCAGGATGTGAGGATTTGCCTTTGCCGACCATGTTGATGGTGACCTCAGGATATTCGATTTCAGAGGTCTTCTTTTTGTGGCGACGTTGTCGTTTGGGAGGTCTAGCGACGTTCGTCAACCTATCAAACACCGATTGCCTGGGCACCGGTGAGCAACAGCTGCATTCGGAGAGGACAGCGGATATGAGCCGCTCACATTGGCATGAATGAGCCACTTGCTGTGTTGGCCTTCCTCTTGACAGTAATTCACACAAGTCGGAGACCTGGGAAAGATTTCGTGAAGGTGGGGATGGAACCCCCTGCCCTTGGATGGGTTGGACATGGACCTTAAATCCGTGCTGTCCCTCTTGAACCTTACGGACCATGTCGTGTTCTTGAGACGAAACACGAGGGTCACGTTTAGGTTTGTAAACACGAGGTTGAGACCTGTGTTTGACTGATGGACTAGATCCTTGTGGACCTTGTCTTAATTGAACGCTGTGTTTGACTGATGGACTAGATCCTTGTGGACCTTGTCTTAATTGAACGCACACTTGTGGTGTGCGTTTTGATGTTGAAACAGACCCCTGCGGGTCTTGTTTTGGTTGAACGCACACTTGAGGTGTGCATTTTGATGATGAAACAGACCCCTGAGGGTCGTTCTCTGTTTGAACGCACACTTGTGATGTGCGTTTGGATGATGAAACAAACCCCTGAGGGTCGTTCTTTGTTTGAACGCACACTTGTGATGTGCGTTTGGTTTATGACCCAGACCCCTGGGGGTCGGGTTTTGATTGAACGCACGCCCGTGGCGTGCGTTTGGATGATTGAACAGACCCCTGAGGGTCGTTCTTCGTTTGAACGCACACTTGTGATGTGCGTTTGAATGGTTGAACGTGCCTTTGGAGGCCACGTTTTGGGACGCACTCTTGAGGTGTGCGTCTATGTTGAACAACGCGCCATTGAGGGTCGCGTTTGAGTTGGATAACCCGAGGCTCATAGTCGGGTTCATTGCCATGAAGTGTGCGTTCTGGAGCAGAAATGCACAGTTCTAGCAAAGGTTCAGAAACGCAGTCTTTGCGTTGGGCAGTAGCTCGGCTATTCCGCAAGTATGCTCGCCGTAAGGATCTTCTCCTTCGTCGAGCAGCATTTTTCTTGGCCTGTTTCAAGGCCTTGGCCGCAGCATCGTCGGCGTTGGTCGGATTCTCCTCCGACATAGGTCTCTTTTGACCTATTATGTGTCGTAGTGATACGGGGGAGGAGTCTTCAACTCGCAGAGCGAGTTTAAGGTCTTGGCCAAAGGAGAGGGCTTTCTTTGGCATCTCAGCAGTAATGATGACCTCCTTAGAGCTCCTGTGGGTATCACGCCTAGCTTTTGGGCCAAGCGACCCAGAGGAGAGAACCTCCTCATACTTGGCTTGGTCGAACTCTACGACGAGAGTTTCGACGGTGGTTCCGGTGAGATGAACGTCGGATTGCGCCACCACTTCCTCGTTAGAGAAGCTTGTCCCTAGCGGAGTCGCCATCTTTTGTTTATTGGAAATTTGTAGTAAAAAGACAATGAAATAAAATTTGACTTGTATTTCTCTCAAAATCAATTACAATTTGGATTCCGATTACAAAAGAGAGGAGAATGGATTTGATTCTCTCCTTGAGAATGAATTTGATTCTCCCCTTTGTTTAAAACTGGGTTCTTCTTGGTAGCGGTGGAGTGCTTCCTTCGATTGATCGCGTCGAACTTGCTCTCCGTTGACGATCCGACCGTCCTATCTCACGAAACCGATTGAATTGCTTGATGAATTCGGTTTAGAACTCTTGACGAGTATAAAGAACTCAGAACGGGTTAAAAACTCTGATAAGAGTTGTTGAAAACCGAATGTCTGGTTTTATGTGATTAAGTTGGGTTGCGGTTTTTTCTGCTAAAAGTCGATCAACCCATCAACAACCCCTTACTCGGTTGAGTAAGTCGGTTATTTATAGGGGGTTAGTGATGTAACCAACCCCTAAATCCGCTCCTAAGTGGGTGAAGATCCCTCAGAACGTGGGATAACGGTTTTGAGGCCGTTCGACTTGCGTTTGAACAAGTTAAAACGCCTCAGTTGGCGTTCTGGGCTTTAACTCTGCGTCCAAGGCTTGAGACGCAGAGTTAAATCTCTGTTAGAGATTTGAGACGCACAGGCCGCATGCCTTCTGGAATTGGAAACGCACAGGTCGCTGGTGCGTTGGAGTTCAACTCTGCGTCCAGAGTTCGGGACACATAATTGAGTCTGTTGAAGAACGCACGTTATGTGTGCGTTTAGTGCTTTAACTCTGCGTTGCAGAGTTAGATATTTGCTGAAGAACGCACAAGTTGTGTGCGTTTTGCAGAAGTGACCTTCTGCGTTTGATAGAGGTTGTTGACTTGTAACCTCGTCTATTATGACATTGCAAAGGCCATTGCTTATTGATCTTTGCCTGTTATAGGATATGAGAGTCGTCAGATTGTAACTCCCGCTATTGATTGTGAAGACTGTCATCAGCATCTCTAATAGTTGCTAATGTAATATTAGTCATGCTGTTGTCGCAGCCATCAAGATCAATCATCTCAGAGATGAGGCCGTGTTTATAGCGGTTGCAGAGTTGCGGATGCAGTGATTAGAAAGTCGTCTGATTGTAACTTTCATTATCAGGGCTTGATAGGGATCAGCTATCTATTGTGATTTTTAGACAGCCTACACTTCCACAGAAGATTTAGGCCAATGAATGCGAGATGCCCGAATCTCAAATGCCAGAGCCAAGACTCATCCTTTATAATCATCTTTAAGCACTTGACAGGGTCAGTATGAATATTTAAGGTAAACAGTCTATTTCGAGACATGTTCACCTTTGCAATTACTTCATTTTTATTCTTGATAGTGAGGGCAAGGTCTTTTAGATGTATATCATAGCCTCTTTCAAGGAGCTGGCCTAGACTCAAAATATTATTTCGTAGTGCTGGAACATAATAGACGTCAGAGATGTACCTATTCTCGCCCGTCTTTGTCTGGATCATTATCTTGCCCTTGCCTTTCACTGGAATCTTTGACTGATCTCCAAAGGTGACATCTCCTTGTACCGTCTCGTTCAGCTCGGTGAAAAACTCCTTGATGCCGCACATGTGGTTACTGGCACCTGAATCCAGATACCAGATATCTTTATTCTTGCTTTCACTCTCCTGGTACGTCAGCAGGACTGTTGAAGTGTCTGGTTGCTCCCTTTCTACAAAGTTACTTCTTTCTGCCACTTGATTTGATTTCTCCCAACATTCGTAGCTGAGATAACTGTATCTCTTGCACTTGTAACACTGTGGCTGGGATTTGTCCTCCTGGTATTTTCTTCCTTGTCCTCGTCCTCGTGCGCCACGACCTCGTCCTTGATCGAATGATCGTTCACGATCTCTATTTCGATCTTGATTTTCATGGCCTCCTTGGTACTGTCTCCTACGACCTTGCTGGAAGTTTGAGCCACCTCGAAATGAGCCTCTGCCTCTGTAGCCTCCACGTCCTCTTCGACTATCTTCTTTGATAGTCATCTTACTCTGCAAGGCTTGTTCTAGATTCTCCGCTTGATTTGAACTAATGTTTATATCTTGTTCATAAGCTTGCAGAGAACCTTGCAGCTCATCAATAGATACTTCGGAAAGATCTTTAGACTCTTGTATTGCCGGAATAATATATTTGAATTTAGAGTCTAAAGTCCTAAGTATCTTCTCCATAATTCTTACATCACTAATTGCTTCTCCATTTCTCTTCATTTGATTAGTTATTGTCTGAACTCTACTAAAATAGTCCAATATTGATTCTGTAGCTTTCATCTTCAAATTTTAAATTCAACTCTTAATGCTTGGAGGCGTACCTTTTTGGCTCTTTCCGCACCTTGATATGATTTATGTAAAATCTCCCATGCTTCTTTAGAGGACAGGGCGTTGGAAATCTTCTCAAACGTTGATTCATCTACGCCTTGAAATATTAGGAACAAAGCTTTTTTGTCTCTTTTTCTGACCTCATTCAGCTCACTCTTCTGTGTGGCGGTGAGAGTTTCTTCTACTGCAAGTGACTCTGGTTCAGTGTAGCCATTCTCCACGAGCTCCCACAAGTCTTGCGAGCCGAGCAAGACTTTCATCTGGATACTCCAGTTGTCATAATTGGTCTTCATCAGCTTTAGAATCTGTGGCTGGATCATATTCGCCATCTCGTACACGAGCACCTTCGATTGGCCCGGCTAGATCGAACCTCGCTCTGATACCACTTTGATGGAATTTGAAGAACACAACCCTCTACACAAAGGAAACTTTTATTAATAGAACACTAGGGAGTACAATACTTGCTCTTACAAGAGCACCTCACTTTCACACAACTTTTTATTTTGGTGAACACTCACACAAGCCTACACTACACACTCAAGCTTTCAAGCTTATTTCTTGCTTGCTTGCTTAAATGAGAGCCCAAGACCCCTATTTATAGTTGCTTAAGAGGGCTAGGAAGTGTGTGGAAGAAACAATCCTAGCCATACATTATTACCACATTCTACACACTTCTTCTTTCTACATCCTTCTACAATTTTCTCTTAAAAATATATTTCTTTCACATTTGTTGAGAAGCTTCCAATGTATTGGGCTTAGATGAAATGGAATTGAGCTTTTATTTTCCTTGGGCTGAAAATAGATTGGGCTTTGTAATGAGCTGGGGTTGATCTTCAACAGTTTCACCATCTGCTCCATTCGGATCAGGCAGCGGCAGTGTGGGGTCATCACGTGTGACTGTCAGATTTGGGAGTGACGTCATATTCACCCTCGAAGGAGAAGCAGGACTGGGGAGTGATGGTGATCGATTCATAGGATATAAAGATGGAGGCGGAGTGATCGATCAACTCTCCTCCATTGATTAGGGTTTAGCTACTTAAGTCTTTGGATTAAGAGGATATTTGGAAGATTTGGGTGGATCATGAACTTATTAGTTTTTTTTTCCTGTTAGGGAGTCCACGTTGTTAAGTGTGATTTTTTTTTCGAATTAGAATAAAATTTGATGATTGAGTCATGATGTCAAAAACCTAGAAATTTTTAAAGAACGGCAAGAGAGAGACTGGTCCTCTTGTGTGCTTAGGAGCTCAGTGTCAGTCCACATGCATAAGATTAGTTGTGTGTGTTCTCCGGAATCGTCAATGCGCCCGGGTACTCGTGCTCGAGTGGTTCCCCATAACTGCAGGCCACATTCAGCAGGGATATTTGATTTAAAATAATATTTGGGCTTGTTTATGCATTACTTATTTATTAGGGGGTTATTTGAGAAGTTTTAAGTGTTTTAATTTGTTAAAGGGGCTTTTATGTAAAAGGACTGAACACCAATCTCTAGTATGGTGGCAGCCCAAATTAGGGTTTCTTAGCTTTTGTTTTGGTGAAAAGTATCGTAGAAGACATTATCCTTGAGGATATTGAAATTTTATTGGATTTTTTTGGGATTTAGTCTTGGATTTCTTGGGCTTTTAGATTGCTTTGTTGACAATCTGATAGAGGTTTCGCATGCGCTTCATCAACGAGTGTGGAACCAAATTAGGATCCTTATCAATTTTTGTCGCTTTTATTGAGATAGCGTTTAATTGTATGCAATGGCGGAATCGTCAGTTTTAAATACTCAAACAATCCCAAATTGAAAGAGGATCGAAACATTGGAAAAAATGATTCAAAATTATCGAGCAAGATTTTGAAGAGAATAGGAGGGAGATGAGGAATTTATCTCAGGCAGTCGAGCAATTAACATTGTCATTGAATCAGCTAATCAACAATGACAAAAGTAATAGCATCAAAAAATGGCGAAGGCAGGCTCATAGGAATGGAAAAGGCTATGAAATGATAACAAATCATAATCAAGACGAGAACGATGTGGCAGTGGGAAGACTAGGACTAACCGTGCTGCTCTTCCTCTGGGCTTGACCAATATAGTGCAGCCGATCTCTATAGAGCCGCATTGGCCACCCATAGCCTGTCGGCTACAGATATCACGGGGGCTCACAGCAAAATGGGAGGGGCCCAACAAGCTGTTTTGGGATCGATGGAGACAACTAATGGCGAGTTCGGTAGAGATCGGGTCGTCGGTGATGATTGGCAGTAGGGTGATCAGGGTGTTGACGAAATCCTAACTGTTGGTTGACTGTAGATTGCTCGGATTTGATCTCAAGCATGATACATGCCATGTTTGAGAGTAGGGCCCAGTTGATGAGAGGTTTGATAGTGTTGGGCGCAGAGTTACGCCCACCGCCGCGGAAGCGATATCACCTGAGAGATAGCTCTGGCTTTTGTTGTCACAAAAGCTCAAGTCAACCGCTATATTCTTGTTTCTCAAAGGAAACTAGAATAGAAAGTGATATATTTCATCACAAAGTGAAATATACACTCTTCCTCTCATCAGTTCTAGGACTGAAATATCGAGGAAACCTACAAGTAATGGCAACACACAGATAAGACAAATACAAACACGAGATTTACGTGGTTCGGCTAACTAGCCTACGTCCACGGGAGGGGGTTTTCACTATGAGAAGAATACCAAACTTATTACAAGTTTTTATCTCAACTCTCTCTTTTTCCTCAAAAGAACTCCAATACAAAACCCACAATTGATTTTTCCCCACACCATTTCCTCTACACCCACCTCTCTATTTATAGGCGAGGAAAGGGGGCTGAACCGAAAAAATCCGGCGGGCACAAGCGGCGGGAAGGGAAAGCGCGCGCGGGAAAAAACTCCCTGTGCCCGTTGGGCTGCAGGCGCCGCCTCGACCTTCCGTGCGCACGAACCTCGTCGTGGGCAGGCGGCCGCGAACACGGGTGAGCACGACGCAGCCGCTGTCCCTCACGCGGGCCCCACGTTCACAATTCTCCACCTCATTCATCATTTGATAAACCTCAAATTTTGAACGAACACCAGAAGAACCCCACGAACTTCACCAGAAAGATCCAGGCCAAACCAGGCCAAACCAGCTGCGTCACTATACCGCGACTATCTACGTACCCTCCACCGGGATCAAGCTAATCGTAGTTCTGCTATTATTCTCCAACATAGTCTCCACCTCACCTCCATCACCGCCCCGCAGGGCTATGCCCTCTTGGGCAAATCAACAGGGGCTAATATGAAGCAAGTCCAAGCAAAGCTGGAACTTGCTGCCTGTGACCACCTTAGTTAACATGTCCGCGGGATTCTCATTCGTATGCACCTTCATGAGAGAAATATCACCTTCTTCTATGACATCCCGCACAAAATGATACCTGACATCGATATGCTTGGTACGAGCATGGTGAACTTGATTTTTCGCCAAGTGAATCGCACTCTGACTGTCGCACCACAAGTTCACGCTTTCCTGCTCGATCCCCAAATCGTCTAGAAGACCCCACAGCCACAATGCTTCCTTCACTCCCTCCGCCATGGCCATGTACTCGGTCTCTGTTGTAGAAAGTGCTACTGTAGCCTGCAACATCGATCGCCAACTAACTGGAGCTTCATGTATCCTGAATACATAACCAGTAGTAGATCGCCGTCTATCTAGATCGCATGCATAATCTGAGTCCACATACCCGTCAATCTGACATGTATCTCCACCAAAACACAGACCTGTATCCGCGGTACCTTTCAAGTACCTCAGGACCCATTTCACCGCTTCCCAGTGCGCCTTTCCCGTATTCGCCATGAATCTGCTGACCACACTAACCGCCTGTGAAATATCAGGGCGTGTACACACCATTGCGTACATTAAACTGCCAACTGCACTAGCATAAGGGACACGCTCCATGTGTGCCTTATCTTCCGCTGTAGTGGGAGATTGTTTACCAGAAAGCCTAAAGTGTAGAGCTAATGGGGTCACCACCGACTTTGCACTTTGCATCCCGAACCTCACGATCACCCGCTCTATGTAGCCCTTCTGACTCAAGAATAATCGCCGATTCGCCCGCTCTCTTCTAATCTTCATACCCAGTATTTTCTTTGCAGCGCCCATGTCCTTCATCTCGAACTCATTGCTAAGTTGAGATTTCAGCTTATCTATCTCCACCTTGTTCTTCGATGCAATAAGCATGTCATCCACATACAACAGGAGATAGATATAATCACCTCCACAAAGCTTCCGAATGTAAACACAACAATCATAGTCGCTCCGGGAAAACCCATGCTTCAGCATGAAGGAGTCAAATCGCTTGTACCACTGCCGAGGAGATTGTTTCAATCCATATAGTGATTTCCTCAAGCGACATACATGATTCTCCTTATCCTCAACCTTGTAACCCTCAGGTTGATGCATATAGATCTCTTCATCCAAGTCTCCATGCAAGAAGGATGTCTTTACATCGAGTTGTTCCAGCTCAAGATCACCATGAGTAACAATACTCAATAGCACCCGAATAAAAGTGTGTTTCACCACCGGAAAAAATATCTCATTGTAATCCACACCCTCTCTTTGAGCAAACCCCTTGGCCACTAGTCTCGCCTTGTACCTCGTACCACCGAGCTCTGAAGGATCTTCCTTTCTCTTATACACCCACTTACAACCAATAGCTTTTCTTCCTACGGGCAACGGGACCACCTCCTATGTTTGGTTCTTCCGGAGAGAGCCATCTCCTCCTCCATCGCAGCCAACCAACTCTCACTATTCTTGTCTCGAATAGCTTCTTTGAAGGAGACCGGCTCATCTTCTTCCACCGAGAGTGCGTACTCAACCAAATTAACATGCCCATAGTGCTTCAGGGGTTGACCAGCCCCTAGCTTCTGTACCCGGTTGTATGCTCATCTTGGCCTAGTGGAAGCCAAGCTATCCTCGAGCTGCTGTTGTTGTAGTGCCTGTGTATTCTCCTGCTGAACCTCCTCCTGCTCAAGCTACATGGCTAGAACCTGGTTGGTCTTTAGGTTCTATCTTAATAACCTGGGACTTGGAAGTCCCAACAGTCTCAACACCATCATCCTTGGGCACCCTAGCAATCATGGACTTCTCATCAACGGTAACGTCCATGCTGATCACGAACTTCGAATCTTCTGTACACCAAAGGTGGTAGCCTTTTACGCCCTTTGCATACCCCAAGAAAATTGTCTTCTTGGCCCTCGCGTCAAGCTTTCCCTCGTTGACGTGATAGTAGGCGGTACAACCAAAAATCCAGAGCCTCTCATAATCTGCATGCTCCCCTGACCACACCCGATAGGGTGTATCACCGTCCAACGTCGAATGTGGAGATCGATTCACTATATAGCAAGCTATAGCAATCGACTCTGCCCACCATTCTTTGCCCAAACCAGCATAAGATCGCATACTCACTGCTTTCTCTCGCAGTGTTCGGTTCAGTCTCTCCGCGACCCCATTCTGCTGTGGTGTAGATCTAACTGTCCAGTGTCTAGTAATGCCCTCCTGATCACAGAACTCCTTGAAGGCACCATCTGTGTACTCTGTACCGTTGTTAGATCTTAGCGTCTTCTATTTCTTCCCTGTCCTGTTCTCAACCATCGCCTTCCACTTCTTGAATGTCTCAAATACCTCATTCTTATGCTTCAGAAAATAAATCCAAGCATACCTAGAATGATCATCTATGAATGAGACAAAATATCTGGAACCACCCTTGGAAGTTGTCGAAGTCGGACCCCAAACATCCGTGTGCACATAATCTAGTATCCCTCTGATCTTGTGATTGCTTCTCAGAAATTGAATCCTGTGCGCCTTTCCATACACACAGTCCTCGCAAAAATTCATGCAAGGCTTCTTCAGATTCTTCAGCAAACCCTCCTTACCAAGCAGATCTAGACCCTTCTCTGATATGTTCCCAAGCCGCCTATGCCATAACCGTGTGTGCTCACATGGGTCTCCACCACTTCCATCAGCTCCAACTGCTGCATCTCCTGTCACCGTCGTACCCGAGAGAGTATATAGATTACCGTGACGAACACCCTTCATCACTGTTAAGGAACCCCGAATAACCCTCTTCACTCCATTCTCTGTTACGATCTTGCAACCCCCAGAGTCCAAAGCACCGACTGAGATGAGATTCTTCCGCAAGTCGGGAACGTGTCGTACGTCCGTCAGGGTTCGAACCACTCCATCATGCATCTTGATTTTGATATCACCTAGCCCCACCGTTTTACAAGCATGGTTGTTCCCCATCAGTACGGTTCCACCATCAATGCTCCTGTAGGTAGTAAACCACTTCCTATTTGGACACATATGGTAAGAGCAACCAGAATCAAGAATCCACTTCCCAGAGGTATCCTCACCACCCGTGACGACATAGCATTCCTTATCGCTCCCTTCCCCTGAAGCGTAGCTCGCCTCTTCCTTGCCTTCTCGTCTTTCAGTCTTATTGTTGTTCTTCTTCCCTCCTACTCTCTTGTTAGGACAATCGACCTTGAAATGCCCAACTTCACCGCATTTGAAACACGCTCGTCCCGCAAGAGGTCTCGATTTAGATCTAGACTTTCCTCCCTTGCCTTTCCCTCGCTCATTGCCTCTGCCTCTGGCAAACAGCCCCTGCGCTTGTTCTTTGTTACCACCAGTGGCCATATCACTAGTTATAATTTTTCGAAGATCATCCGTTAGAAGCACCGTTCTAGTCTCATCCATCGACAAACTATCACCCACAAGCATCAGTGTTTGAACCAGATTCTCATAGGACTTCGGCAGAGATAGAAGTAGTACAAGCGCCTGATCCTCGTCTTCCACTGTCACCTCAATGTCCTTCAAGTCTGATAAGATCCTATCAAACTTGTTAATGTATTCCCGGATTGACGAGCCCTCCTCCATCTTGCAAGTATACAATTTGGATTTTAAATAGATCCTGTTCGTTAGACTCTTCGTCATGAAGGTGCTTTCTAACTTCAACCACACGCCCGCAGTCGTTTCCTCCCCGTCCACCAAGAAAGCTACATCCCTTTTAAGGCAAAGGATAATCGACGCCCGTGCTTCCAGATCCAGCTCCTCCTAATCCTCATCAAACATAGTTTTGTTTTTCTCTTTTCCAGCCAAAGCCTTGTGCAACTTTTGCGAAATAAGCGAATTTTTCATTTGCATCCTCTAATAGGAAAAATTATTTTTCCCATTGAATTTTTTAATCTCGTACTTTCCAATTTTATTTGTTTTACTTGTAGAAGCTATTATCCGCTTGAATTATGTAAATCTGCTTCTCTCAGAAATTTTTAACAATTACTTGTGTTTTACCACACAATATTCAACCACCTCAGATCAGAAATTTTACCACCTCTAGTCTGAATAAGGGGCTCTGATACCAATTGTTGGGCGCAGAGTTACGCCCACCGCCGCGGAAGCGATATCACCTGAGAGATAGCTCTGACTTTTGTTGTCACAAAAGCACAAGTCAACCTCTATATTCTTGTTTCTCAAAGGAAACTAGAATAGAAAGTGATATATTTCATCAAAGTGAAATATACACTCTTCCTCTCATCAGTTCTAGGACTAAAATATCGAGGGAACCTACAAGCAATGGCAACACACAGATAAGACAAATACAAACACGAGATTTACGTGGTTCGGCTAACTAGCCTACGTCCAACACACAGATAAGACAAATACAAACACGAGATTTACGTGGTTCGGCTAACTAGCCTACGTCCACGGGAAGGGGTTTTCACTATGAGGAGAATACCAAACTTATTACAAGTTTTTATCTCAACTCTCTCTTTTTCCTCAAAAGAACTCCAATACAAAACCCACAATTGATTTTTTCCCCACACCATTTCCTCTACACCCCACCTCTCTATTTATAGGCGAGGAAAGGGGGCTGAACCGAAAAAATCCGGCGGGCACAAGCGGCGGGAAGGGAAAGCGCGCGGGAAACAAGCGCGGGAAAAAACTCCCTCGCGTGGGCTGGCAGGCGCCGCCCTCGACCTTCATGCGCACGACCCTCGCGTGGCAGCGGCGGCGAACAGCGGGATAGCAGACCGTCATCCAATCGTGCGCGAGTGGGTTAGCGTGCCGCTGCCCTCACGCGGCCCCACGTTCACAGATAGGCAGGGCCTGAGTTATAGACAAGAAGATGGTTATGCTAATGATTTTGGTCCTTCTGGTGTCAAGACCGGGGTTTTGATCGAAGGCGACCACCTGTATGGTAGAGGAGGATTTCAGCATCATGGGGGTTGTTGTGGCGGCTATGGTTATGGTTATGGCCAGGATGAATATGATAGGAAGATTATTAGTATGATTGGGGTCTACACAGATCGAAGATTGTTTTTTTTTTCACTCTGGAAGAGGTGATTCACATGAGTGGTTAGAGAAAATCAGCTAGTATTTTAGTCTATTTGAGGTAGATCTTGATCAAAGGGTGGAGTTCGCTAGTTTTCACTTGGATGGACAAGCCAATAACTGGTTGAGGTGATTGAAGTCTCAGAGAGAGAGAGAGAGAGTTGGGCCAAGTTTGTGGATGAATTTCTGTATCAGTGGGGACCTTCTCTAGTTGTCAACCATCATAGGCAACTAGCTAAACTGAGACGAGAGGGAAATGTTACTCATTGCATCGATGAGTTTTAGAAATTATAGGTGATAGTGAGGGATTGGTCAGAGGAAACACTTTTTGGTACTTTTATGGAGGGTTTGAATCCCTGGAGCACTACATAAGTGAAGATTAAGTAGCCTGAGAGATTGTCACGGGCAATGAGGATAGCTAATTAAGGTTATTGAGGAGGTCAAACTAACAGTTTGGAGGACTAATAGGGAGGTTAGTGGTAGAAAAAAGTTAGGTAATGATATTGACAAGGTAGGCAGGACCTCGAGCACAGTCACAGATTCAGGTGATAAACCAAAAAGGAGCTGAAGAAGCTTACCAGAGATGAGGTACATGATAGAATAAAGAAGGAGTTATGCTTTAAATGTGGGGATAAGTGAACAAAGATCACTGATGCAGGGCTAGAGTAGCCTGCTGATAGAAAGGGTGAGGAGGTTGATGATCGTTGTGAGGCATCAGAAGAAGCAGAGCTGTCACATAACATTATGAGATATATCATCTACCTTAAGGATGATAACATGGGTTACAAAGCATGAGGTGTCATTGTAAGTTGATCCTAGTTCTTTGCATAATTTTATTAATGTGAGGGTTGCTAGGATGGTGGGTTTGATAGGGACTGCTGTTGAGTCTTTTGTTGTGTGGATAATGACTGGGGATAAAATGTAGTGTTAGAAGATTGTCAGGGAATTTGGCATTAACATCCAAGGAGTTCAGATTTTTGCTAATCTTCACGTGTCAGTGCTTGTTTGAATGGATGTTATTTGGGCAACGCTTGGTTGAGGCATTTAGGGGATGTGAAGATGAACTTTGATGTTATGGGGATGGTGCTCCGATTAGAAGGAAAGAGTCATACATGGACTGTCGTTTCTAAGGGGTAGACGGAATATTCTAGACGGAAAATTTCCGTCTAGAATATTCCGTCTAGAATATATTATTCTAAACGGAAATTTCCGTCTAGAATAATACATTCTAGACGGATTTATTTTATTATTTTTTATTAAGTTGAGACGATTATTCTAGACGGAAATTTCCATCTACGATGGTCTTCTCAGCTCAATAAAAAACATCAAAACTGTCCCATTGTTTATTTCGGTGAAAAAAATCCTGTTATAGGAAGTCCCCGCCTGGCCTCCGCCCCTGCACGGCCGCGGGCCCTCCGTTGCCGTCGCTGCTCGCTTGGACAGGGGTACGACCCCACCGTCGAGATGCTGACCACCCTCCCTACTCTCCCTCTCCTCTCTGCGCTCTCCTACCAACACCTAGCATCCAACTCGACGGCCGCTACAGACATCCCCCTATCGAGACCAGAGCGTCCGGACGTGCCGCCGCCGGTGAACTCGTTCGCCGAGATCGACCTCGGCGGCGCGCTGAACGAGAACATAAGGAGGTGCCGGTGAATTTCTTCTACTTTTTTGAAATACCAACCAGTTATCTTTCAATTTCCTGCAATTTTCTGGATTTAGGGTTTGATGTCAAATTGGTTTAGGGCTTAATCTTAAAAAAACATGATATCTTGATATTTCAATGTCCCATTGTCAATTCTGGAGATGGATAAGTCCAAGATCACTCTCCCAGTTCTTAAAAGACTGGGATTTCACAGGTCAATGCTTTATCACGTTTTTTTAAGATTAGAAGTTTCTTTCTTCAGATTCCTGCAAATTTTGTTGTTGTAGGGTTTAAGGTCAAATTCGATTTTTCTTTTGTTACTTTGTGCCATTTTCTTTGTTGAATGAACAAAAAGGAAAGATGAAGTCTTGATAACATAATTGTTATAGTACTGTCTAATGATGCATCCGTTGGTTAATTTCCGAGGGGGTTTGAATGAAGATGAAGATTAAATCATTTAAGTGAGTAATCACTGAGTTATTAGTCTTGTAGAAGGGTTAAGTGCTTTTTTTTATTTATCATTAGAAGGACGCCATGACCTTGATGATGTTTCTTGTGTCTGCTGATTAAATTGCTGCTTGGAAAATGCTTACTTGCTACTTAGAAAATGTTTGTGATATTTACATGTCTGTAATAAGCATATTGTTATGGACAACTTTCAGAGGCTATTACATCCTTTATAGCTCTTAGTTTGCAATATTTGCATATCTGTATGCATATTGTTGTGAATTTTATTACTTAAGTCCCATTGTGTGCAGGAAAATTCTGTGTTGTGATGCTTAGCGGCCTGCTTACTTCTTTCTTCTTTTTAGTTTTTCTTGAAGGCGTACTGAGTTTGTTGCTCTGGAAATGTCTTGGGGAATGTTGGGTAAGCAAAATATTCCAGTTTATTCTGTTGTATTTTGAGTATGTTACACTAGTATATTGTTGATGTAATGATAATTGCTCCATAATATGTAGTTCTCAGTGATATTTAGAATTAGTTACTCAACCTTATCCTGGACACTTTACATGTTTAAGAATCTACTGCTATGTTCAGACATCTTGCACTACCTCTTAGACCTAACAACTTCACCCATCATTGCTATTTTCTCTTATTATATCTAAGTCATTGCAGGTATTCCTTTCCTTAGCTTATTTACATTGGACACAAATTCAATCTTACTCTTAATCCTTTTTACATTAGTACTAACATGTTGTTTATCTTTCCTGAATCATATGGCTCTAAATGTCTCAACTCAAGAAGTTAGTAGTTGGTATTTGTATGGTACGGCCACCTTTTTATTCTAATTTCATCCAATCACCATCTGTTCCTATGCCTTTCCTATGATTTGAATTTGATCTAACCTCCTATGCCTTTTCTATGATTTGAATTTGATCTATGACTTGAACAAGATTGGGAGAATATAATACTGAAATATGGTCTCTGTGCATGTATTTGATGTATTGGCCTGATTAAATTGAGAAATATGATTTAACCTTTAACCTGTAGTAACTTTCCTTAAAATAAATTTCTTTTTGATGTTCTAATATTCACTTTATCTGGCATAATAACAGGTCAGCTCTTGTCTAGATTGAAAAAATGGTAATACATATTTCTCTTTTTTTTCTTTTCTTTTTCTTTTTAATTTGTGCATATCATAGTTTTGATTGATTTTTACCTCTGCCGTAGATAAGAATTGAATTATATATGCAATTCTTGCAGTAGTATGCCAAGAGGAATCATGATTTGACTCTACCAGTATTTTGGATTCCGATTCAGATGATGACTTTATTAGCGTTCATGGAGGTATATATTAAATCTCAGTTTTCAAATGCACCAGACCATCATTTTATTTAACATGGTATGTTATGTCATGGATTTAGAATTGAGCATATTTGGTGCAGAATAACATGAATATTCATGTAAAATTGTGGAGGACGTGTTTAGGTTTATATGTTTGAAGGTTCTTGTACATTACGGTATGAGTAAACTTCCTTCCTAAATATATTTGTAAATTGGGGTGTAAATGGACGCTTATCCATGTATATTCATGAAACACCACTTCACTAGTTATATATTGAACCAAACTTCTGTAGTACTCCTAGGTATTGTGTCAAGAAAATAACAAGTTGTTAAGAGGTTTTTTGAGATCACAATACTTGTTGAGATGCTCTAGTATATGCTTAGTTAACATCATGTTGTTAAGAGGTTTTTTGTATTCTCAGTGAAAACAAACTTATGCAATAAGACTTCCTAGAGCTCAGTTGTCGATTAAGATGGATGTTACTAGCATTATATTCCTAGAGCTCAGTTGTCGATTAAGATGGATGTTACTAGCATTATATTATCTTTTCCTGAAGCTTATTGGTATTTCTCATATCGCTTCCCCCATGTCATCAATGTTATAGGTTCTCAGAAAATGAAATTCTATTTTTTGGTGGACCTATTTCCCATACAGAAAATGAAATTCTATTTTTTGGTGGACCTATTTCCCATATTAATAATTCGAGAGACCGATATGAGAAATGCCCTACATTAATTTCTCTCTGGTGGACCTATTTCCCATATTAATAATTCGAGAGACCGATATGAGAAATGCCCTACATTAATTTCTCTCTTTAGCATGTAGGCTAATAGTTTCCTTTTTTTGGTTGTGCAGACAGCTTTTGGATAATTCTTTGGCAATGACATCAGCTTCTTGCCCTATGATCGAATCTCTAGTATTATCCTCTTGCTTATCCATGCTATATTTTTTGTGTTTGGAGTTTTTATTCGTTCCCGGAGATTAGAGTTGCTTGGAGTTGCATCGAGTAGTCACAGTTTCTCCTGATATGTATATATATGTTTGTGTGTGTCCGTTTAGTCTGTGTGTGTGTATGTATGCATGAATTTATACAAATTATACACATATGCCTTCACATGCCTAATAGATATGTATGCATGAATTTAGGGCCTGGTTCATCAGCCGACGTATGAGGATATCTGCGGCGGGGGGACGAAGCATTCTGAGGTTGTTAGGGTTATCCGTGTACCGAGGGAGTGTAGGTACGAGTAAATGTATAGGGAAGGAGTTGAAGAAGCTTCTGCAGTGTCATAGCCATTGTAAATGATTTATGTAAAAGTTTGTAAACAATTTATGTATCTCTCTACTATTTTGGTGAATGTATTATTTGAATATAATTGGATTTGATATTGGAATATACTTAGATTGTGTTGGATATGAATATAATTTTTTGTTGTTCAATATTGTATACATGCACTCAAAGTAGATTCTAAAAAAAAAAAAAAAAAACTGTAGCAAAGCATCCCAGATAGAAATTCCGTCTAGAATGCTCAAATTCCGTCTAGAATGTATTTTTTTTAAAAAAAATTAAAAAATCCTAGTCGGAAATCCGTCTAGGATGAGTATCCTAGACGGAAATTTCCGTCTAGGATACTAATCCTAGACGGAAATTTTTTCCGTCTAGGATGTAGTATTCTAGACGGAATTTCCGTCTAGAATTATCCGTCTAGGATGTATTCTAGACGGTTTTGAATTCCGTCTAGAATAATCCGTCTAGGATGTATTCTAGACGGAATTTCCGTCTAGAATACTACATCCTAGACGGAAACTTTCTAGACACGTATTCTAGACGGAATTCCGTCTAGGATACTCATCCTAGACGGAATTCCGTGTATCCTAGACAGAAGGATGCTTTATTTTTTAGTAGCGGAGGAGTTGAGAGCTATGCTATTGTCATAGAGACTATTGATCGAGGTGATTTTTAAGGTGTTTACTATTGGCCGAGTCCAGTATTTGGGATGACATAGAGGATCCATTAGCACAACTAGAGGATGGAGTGATGCAGATAGTGTTGTTGCGACATTAGAGGGTTACACATGTTCCTACTGAGTTACTACCATAGAGGGTCTGGGACCATGAGATTGTTTTGAAGGACGAATCAAAGCTCATTAACGTGCTACCTTACCACTATGCTCACTTTTAGAAGGAGGAGATCGAGAGGCCAGTGGAGAAGATGCTGAGGTGTGGGTTGATTAGGCCAAGTAAGATCGAGTTCATTTTCCTCACCCAAGTGTCCATTTTCCCCACCTATTCTCTAGTGAGGAAAATGAAAGGGACATTGGGATTTCCCACCAATTACAACGCACTGAATGAGGCTATAATGAAGGATTGGTTTCCTATTCCCGTAGTGGATGAGTTGCTCGGGAATAGGAAACCAATCCTTCATTATAGCCATACACTGAATGTTGGATGAGTTGAGTTGCTCGGGAATAGGAAACCAATCCTTCATTATAGCCATACACTGAATGTTGGATGAGTTGCTCGGGAATAGGAAACCAATCCTTCATTATAGCCATACACTGAATGTTGGATGAGTTGCTCGGGGCCGTAGTATTCACAAGGCTTGGTTTGAGGGTTGGATACTATCAGATCCAGATGAGAGAGAATGATGTACAAAAGTTGGCATTCAGGGAGCACTTGGGGCACTACTGAGTATTTGATGATGCGTATAGAATGTGCAATGCACCGTCAACTTTGCAGGTATCTATGAGCAACATCTTCAGGCCTTTTTTCAGGAGGTTTGTGCTAGTATTTTTTTGATGAAATATTGATATACTCAGCTACATAGAGGAGGCTCTGAGGATTCTGGGATTCATTAAGTTGTCAAAGTGTGACTTTGCAAGAGCAGAGTTGGAGTACTTAGGGCATCTTATCTCAGCTCAATCGGTAAAGATAGATGAGAGGAAGATTGCAGATTGGCCTTTGCATAAATGTGCTAGCTTTGCGAGGGTTTTCAGGGTTAACGGGCTACTACAGGAGGTTTGTGAGGCATTATGATTTGATTTCTAGGCTGTTAACAAATATGTTGAAGAAGGATGGCTTCCAGTGGACAGATTCATCATGACAAACATTTGAGGATTTGAAGAGAGCTATGTCTCAGACTCTGTTGCTTGCTTTGTGAGATTTTTCAAAGGAGTTTGAGGTTCACACTAACGCTACTGGTAAGAGAATAGGGGCGGTCTTAGTGCATGAGAAGAGGCCGCTAGCTTATTTTTCAAAGTCATTAGGACAATAGAAGAGGGCCTGGAGAACCAATGACCAGGAGATATTAGCAGTGGTGCATGCTATGAAGGTATGGAGGCCATATTTGTTTGGAAGAAATTTTACCATTGTTAAGATCAATAGACATTGAAACATTTTTCGGAACAAAATATAGTCACTTGCAAACAGAAAAAATTATGGCGAAGCTCCTGGGGTTTGAGTATGATGTCATATATCAGTCAGGGAAGGAGAATAAAGTTGTAGATGTACTGTCATGGGAGGAGGGGAGTCAGATGTTGTGGTCGGTATATAGCGAGGATTACGGATGCTATATGCTATTAGTGGAGTTGATTGGAGAATTTAGGATTGTATTTGGTGGTCTATGCAATTAGATGAGCATGCTGCGGATATTTATGATAGAATTGAGTGCAGAGGTTCGAGTTGACCTGATTTTCTATAAGCGATGTGTTTATTCCTAGGAGTGTCAGGGCTACAAGAGGATATTCTATCTCACTTTCATGATAGTCGAGAGGGAGGGCACTCAGGTTGGCTTCGAACTTATATTTGGGAGAAGTACTTCTTTTATCGGGAAGGGCTAGAGGCAGTGGTGAAGGTGAAGTTAGAACTTAGAAGAGTACGATGTGTGCCAGAAGATGAAGTATGACCAGAGGGCTCTGATGGGGTTGATGTAAACATTGCCTATTCTAGAGATGATTTGGGAGGACTTGACGATGGATTTTGTTGAGGGGTTGCCTAGTTGTGGAGGTTTGAGGTCATATTGGTAATAGTGGATTGCTTGAGTAAGGTGGCACATTTCACTCCATTGAAGAAACCATTCATTACTGCTAGTGTAGGTTGGGTGTTTATTGATAATATGCTCAATTTACATAGTATTACGAGAAGTATAGTCATTGATAGAGGGATGTGTTGGAGTTGTAACTTAAAACTTGGGTTTGTAGAGGAAAAGAGAAAAAGTTTAGTCTCACATTGGAAAAGAGATGGGAAGATAGGTTCTTTATAACCCTTCCCTTTCTCGCCTATGCCTAGAAGAAAATAAAGGTTATGCTCCACACCACACACGCGCGCGCCGGCCGGGCCAGGCTCGGGGTCGGGTGGGTGGCGCGTGCACACGACCTGCAGACACCAATACAGCTCCGGATTAATGGGCCCTTAATCTGCTACATTTTTATTTTTAAAGCACACGACCTGCGGACACGAATGCAGCTCCGGATTAATGGGCCCTTAATCTGCTATATTTTTATTTTTAATTTTTGCTAATTGGAACAGTTAAAAACGTGATTAATGTGGATCTTCTTTTCAGGATGATTAATGTCGACCATCAGGCCGTATTTCTAACTCTAATTTTTTTTGTTTGAATTAATTTCATTTCTGAGTTATAATATTTGTCTGATATTATCTGACTTAATTATCAACTGTTTCAAACTAAATTCCGTGCTTATTATTGTCTAAACAGCTAATATTCCTAACAATCCAAGAATCCAATTGTGTGCTGTTTAGAATAGTAACATGATTAACATTTTGGTTTTTATGTTAATGCTGTCTGCAATTCTTAAAAACGAAATGTTACACTGCATGATAATTCTATTGTATGAATGTTTTATATATTTCTGTTGCATTATAATAACAAAACTATTCATTCATCATCAGATTATAGCTACAAGTGAAGTTATGTCTGCTAAACCAGAGAAGTTTGATGGGAATAATTTTCGTCGTTGGCAAAACCAAATGAGATTTTGGTTAACACAATGAAAAGAATAAAGAAAATTGACTTGTATTCCTTTAATTCCGATTACAACTTGATTACAAAAGAGGAGAGAACGAATTTGGTTCTCTCATTTGTTTAAAACTGGGTTCTTCTCGGTAGCGATGGAATGCCTCCTTCGATTGCTCGCGTCGAATTTGCTCTCCCTTGACGATCCGACCGTCTCTTATCTCGTGGGAACGATGAACTTATGTGGAAAGTTTGATGTTTAACTCTGAATGAGTTTAAGAACTCTGAACGAGTTAGAACTCTGTGAATAGAGTTGTTAGAACCGAAAATTCGGTTAATGATCAAGCTGTTATTCTGTTGTTGGAGAATCCTCTCAGATTTGATCTTCTGAGCTTGATTCAAAAATCCTATCTCCAAGGATTTCGCTGCTGCTGTTGCTGAATCACCAAACCCGAGTGGTTTTGATCCTCCTCCTCCAACAAAGCCAGCCCCTGGTTTTGATAACTGGAAAAAAATCTCCAACCTGTGCAGTTTAGATTCTCCGAAATCCAACCCCTCGCCTCCTGTGGTCGATCTGAGCCAAGAAAATCGAACCCCTCACTCAGTTGAGTTTGTTGAGTTTTTATAGGGGGATAGGAGGTTGTAACTGACCCCTATATCCGCTCCTACGTGGGCGGAGATCCCTCAGAACGTGGGATAAACGGTTCTGAAACCGTTCGACTCATGTTTGAACGAGTCAAACACCCAATCTGGCGTTCAGAACCCAACTTCGCCTCTTAGAATTGAGACGCGAGGTTGGGTGTTAGCTGAACATCATTGAACGCGAGGGCCGCTCGCGTTTTGACTTGTTGTAGCTAAAAATCGCGGGGGTGGCTTGGAAACGCGGGGGTCGCCTGCACTTCCCAAGTTGTAACGCGGGGATGACATCCGCGTTTCAGAAGGAGCTTTCTGAATTGTAACTTCTTCTGTGAAGCGTTGCGGGGACCGTTGTTCAGTAATCCTGGCTTTAGCTGTTGTAGGGTGGTATGAAAGTCGTTCAGAATTGTAATCTCACCGTCGATTGTGAAGCGCTGAATAGAGTTTCATCAGTTGTCGGAAGTGTCGTTGATGTAACTCTTCTCGATCTATGTGAAGTCTCTGATTTGCCACTTTTGATTGCCGACCCGAAAGCTATTTGATTGTAGCTTTCGTTGTTGGAATTTGACGGTGAATCAACATCCATAGTGTTTTGAAGATGAATATTTGCCACACGGCTCTCTACCAAGCAACTCACCACTAAGTCCAACCTTTTATTTCTAAAATCATTACACTGCTCATCAGCATCTCTAATAGTTGGCTAATATAATATTAGTCATGCTGTTGTCGCAGCCATCAAGATCAATCATCTCAGAAATGAGGTCGTGT